ATATATATATAAATATAAAAGCGGTTTATGAATTAAATAATATTTAATTTAAAACTAATTATAAATTAATTTATTAGAAGAATTAGTTGATGATTGGTCCTGAACGAGATCCGAACAGGTTCGAATGCTTACTTTAAATTCTTTTATTTTTATTTAGGATTATTAATTTTAAATTTAAATACTATTAGTCCTGAATAAGTTACAAAGTAATTTAATATATTTAGCTTCATTCGTTAAAGTACATATATATATATAAATATAAAAGCGGTATATAAATTAAATAATATCTAATTCAAAACTAAATGTAAATTAATATATTTAAAGAAATATAAAATAAAAAACCCTTCTATTTAATTTTTAACCTTCGGCTTTCTAATACGAGTCGATATACGAGTAGGGCCTACTTAGATTATAATTTATTTATTATAAAAATTAATACCTTATAAATCCGGAACTTATTTTAGACCCGTTTTTATTTAATCCGTATTCTAATCTTTTTATATTTAAATTAATTCTATAGGCTTACCAAGATTAATTTTGAAAAAGTACTATACTAAGTAAAAAGGTTAAATAGAACGAATAGGAATAAAACCTATAATAATTCAAAATAAATTTCATTTTAATTGCAAATTAATAAAATATTTACATTTCCTACTCTGTCTTTAATAAAGAGGACACTTAATTAATACTATACGAATATCTAGCCAATTATAAAATTTAATTATTTACCGCTTTATAATATTATAATTAATTTTTAAATTAATATTAGTATATAATTAGTTCGGAATAAATTCCTAATAAATATAAATAATATTTAACGAATAATTTACTTAATTCTTCATCTTTAAATTACTTTTAAAAAAATTTATTTCGAACAAAATTATAAGTCTCTTATTATACTATTTATAGAAATAATAAAGCGGAGAAGTAATAGTATTAATTCGCAATAAATTCCGGATAAATCCTACTTTTCCTTAATTAAATAAAGGTTCTTCCCTTTAATTAAATAATTTGGAGGTAATAATATTAATTCGTAATAAATTCCGAATGGGTTCTACCTCTCTTTAATTAAATAAAAATCCCTCTTTATTAAATAATTCGGGGATAATAATATTAATTCGTAACCGTTTCCAAACAAATTCTACCTCCCCTTAATTAAATAATTCTGGAATAATAATATTAGTTCGCAACCGTTTCCGAACAAACTCTACTTCCCTTTAATTAGGTAATTTGGGGGTAGCAATATTAGTTCGTAATAAATTCCGAATAGGTTTTACCTCTCTTTAATTAAATAGAAATTCCTCTCCTTAATTAAATAACTTAGGGGTAATAATATTAATTCGTAATTATTTTTAAATAAATTCTACTTCCTTTTAATTAAATAGTTTAGGGGTAATAATATTAATTCGCAATAAGTTTTAAATAAATTCTACATCTTCTTAATTAAATAAAGGTTCTTCCCTTTAATTAGATAGCTCGGGAGTAATAATACTAATTCGTAATAAATTTCGAATTAATATATCCTCCCTTTAATTAAATAGTTCGGAGGTAGTAGTACTAATTTATAACTGATCCCGAATTAATATTTTCTTTATAAAAGTAAATAACCGATTATATATCTCTTTAAAGAGAGATAAACTGTCGTAAATATCATTGTTAATACTATTTATTATTTTATTATAATCGAAAGGATATCCGGACCCTAAACTATAATTAATGTAAAATTAATTAGGAATTTATTTTAAACAGAACTATAATTAACCTTTATTAAGTTATAAAGGTAACGAAGGGGATAAGACTTTATTATCCCTTATTTCTATATATTCTTTTACTCTTTACGCTTTTAAGGCTCTTGCCTCTACTAATCGTCTTAAGGCTTTTTACCGCTTTTTTATTTATTTCGTAGATAGCAATTTCTTTATTTCCTTTTTGACAGTTGTAATTTTGCTAGTAAGAGAATTATTATAATATTTAATAAGCTAAGGATAAAAGGTTATAAGGAATTAATCCCGAGTTTATTTATAATTAATTATAATTTAATTACGAACATTTAATTTCCTAATAAATTTCGACACTCAATTTAAACCCCTTCTTTATAATATTATTCTTATTAATACTATTTTAGGAAACGATTTTATAGAATTTACTTCTTTTATTGCAATGCTGCCTAATATACTTTAAAAAAGTATTTTGGTTATAAAATTATTATTAAATTAATTCGTAATTAATTATAAATTCATTCGGGAATATTAAATATAATCACTTACGGTATTAGTATATAAATCTTTACTAATTCAAACTCGGTAATATACTTTACTTAAATAAATAAATAATTTTCCGTCCTAAGAATCTTATATTAGAATTGGTTCCGAATTTGTTATAAACTAAATATAAATTAGTATTTACCTTATTTTAGTCAAATAGTAGAAGGCTTTTTAACCTTTTACTATTATCGCTCTTTATATAATATTTAAAGGTATTTAATTATTAATACGCTAGTATTATAGTACGTTAGAGGTGAACGAATTGTAAATAAGTTTTATATTTATTTTGGGTAGAAATAGAAGAGGATTGAAGATAGAGGAAGTGGATGAATATTAAAATAAAAATTAATTTCAATTAATTTGGGAATTTATTTGAAATTTATACCTTTTTTTAATTATTTCTTTTATTTGCTGATTGGAATGGTCGTCGTCGTTTGAGATTGGTTTATTAATAATTATACCTATTTATCATTATAACTAATAATTATACCTAAGACGTAAATCGATATAGGATAGATTTAGTATTAATTCGGTATCGATTATAAACTTTTAGTCCTATTATAATCTAAATAATAATATCAGTTATAATTAGTTGGCCGCTTATATATTGCATTAAACTAATCCAAAATCGGTATTGGTTACGAGATTTGTAATAAATGACTAAAATGATACAATATAACTAATTTTAAACTAATTCCAAATTAAGTATATAATTCGATTAATTATTTATTATAGCATATAATTAGACTAGTTTTAATTAGGCTATAAGTATAGTAAATAATTAAAATCATATAATAATTTAAATTTAATATTAATAAGAAGTAAAATATATATACGGAACAGGTTCGGAATTAGTCGTTAAATACTTCATTAATTTAATTCCTATATAATTTTTAATTATAATAACAGTTTAAGAATTAATTAATTCCGAAATAATTTCTTTATATAATATTTAATTAAATATAATATTAAATTTCAATATTAATCAATAGGTAATTCTTACAAAAGTTTTTAGATAAAATCTTTATAAAATTTCAATAGGTAGACTCGTTCTGAATTAGTTCGCGTCTAGTTTCAAACTAATTTTTCAAAATTAATACTAATATAAAATAGGCGCTCATTTATTATTTTTAGTAATTTGAAAATAAACGAGTATAAATTAATAGCTTTTATAACTATTATTTATGAATTTATTTATAACTAGTTCTGAACTAGTCTTATATAAATAATATTAGTCTTAAATAGGTAGTTACTATAGTTTCTCCAACGTTAATTATTGTTAAGCGAGCACAGTATAAATTTACATTTCTATATACGTTATAGTGCTCCGATTGAGGGCCGAGGTCTGTCTTGGCGCGTCTTGGCGCCCTCTTGGCGCTCCGATTGAGGGCCGAGGTCAAGGGCATGTGTGAGGTGAGCTAGTAATTCGACATCCTTGCGAGACTCTCTGCCCATACCATCCAGACTATTGGTATCATGCTACGTTACACGAAAGTCGGTCTTGGGCGATTCCAAGCCATTGTGGTGATGACTGCAAACATTTTGCATTGTCGTGGGTTTCAGACCCCCACTCCATTTTGCTTCTCTTGAATGGATATTCCCAGTCCTGAAGAGTTGCTTCTTCAAGCTGTTTGTTGGGCATCAAATTCGACCATATGAGTGTGAAGATGGAGGGCTGAGACTGTGTACCTGACGGGTCAAAGGCCGGACACGGTGGAGTGGACGCGTCGACTCTCTTCTCGACGACAACGATGAAATCATCACTTCCTCCAGCAGCTCCTGTCCAATGGCCTCTCAAGCTCACCACAGTGAGGTCTGCTCAGGTATGAGACATGCTTCGTTGTATTGGTTGGCTGACTGCCTGGCTGGCTGGCAAAAGGGGTGGGAAAGGGATTCGAGTCATTATCAGAGAACAAAGGCTGCCAAACAGAACAGGACCAATGAAAAGATCGTTTTATCAAAGCTGACAGTTGCTAGGTGGACAGGCTAAAGGCATCAGGAAAGTTAGGATTAGCCATCCTGCTCTTTATTACCTCGTTACATCTTCCCAACACCATACACACACCGAGGACCACATCATACAGCCGTATTGGACTGATGAGGAAGGGAAGGTACAAAGAGTAGCAAGTGCTTGATGCCGATCACAATTTCCTTCGACGTTCTGATGGCAGCAAAGGAAGCCTTCGCTGTCATGGTTGCCTCTACGGCAGACAATGGGGCCAGGCACGATCGGCTGTCCGATGAGCCGACCCGCACTGAACCCTCTAATGAAGAAGAACGAATTCGAGAAAAGTGCAAAAGGAAGGAACGTGGTTTGGACAAAGCAAGAGGTATCAAGCACAGAAGTCCGTAATTTCCACCACAGGAATAGCAAGAGCGACAACCTTCTCACAACCGGCCACGGAACTGGAGGGGGCAAGGAAATATTTCTTCGATCGATCTGAGACCTCATCTAGTTTCAGCTAGACATTCATTGTAAGACACTACGCCATGGAAAACCTAGAAAATCGCACCCCAACAGCAGTAGTTGCACAACGACATGGAAACCTAGAAAATCGCACCTCAACAGCGTAGTTGAGTAAGCACCACTGCACAGAGTGTCCATCCCTCCTGTCTTCATCCGTGCTATCCCCAGGGTTAAAGCGTGTCAGACAAGTGGGTAGTAAGAGTAGAGGGATCTAGCACCCCAGATTTAGAGTTCAGGGCTGTCTATGGGTTATAGCTCAAGCCAGCAAGATGAACGTATCTGGCTTCAACGAACAGCGGCCTGAAGCCGACGCGCTCGACGCGGTTGAGGCCATCGACGAGCACACCTCGCTCCTCCACCCACCACCAACACCACCATTGACATCATCATCATCCTCCGCCTCCTCCCTATCAATAACCACAGCCGAAGCCATCTCCCGCATCATCAAACCCCAGGCCAACTTCCACCCCCATCAAGACGAAGAAAGCCAGGCCACCACACTCACCAGAGATGACTCCCTCTATCATCGCGACTTATCCCCTTCTTCTGCCTCAACGCTCATCCACCCCGACCGAAACCACTATGACCACCATCCCCACCACCTCTCAGGCGGGCAATGGAGGAAGAACCTGGTCCTCCTCCTGGCCGTCTTCCTCGTCAACTCCGACAGCGCCATCCTCCTGGCCATGTTCCGCCAGATCGCCAGCGATTTCGACAAGCTGAGCTCAGCGAGCTGGATCATCACCTCGTACATCATCGGCGTCATCGTCACTCAGCCGTTGTTTGGAAAGTTGAGCGACATTTACGGGAGAAAGCTAATGCTCATCATCGCTTACATCTTTTACATCCTCGGTGGTGTTTTGGCCGGTGCTGGGTTTTCCTTTTGGGGTGTTTTGCTGGGGAGGGGATTGTGTGGCGTGGGCAATGCTGGGATTACGGTGTTGATTTCTACGTTGATTGTTGGTAAGTTCCTTCAGTCTCTACCATCCCTACTGGCGGCAAATCTAACGGGTAAAAAAAACACAAGACCTCGTCCCAATCCGCGAAGTCGCCGTCTGGCGCGGCTACGTCTACGCCATCAACCAAGTCGGCCGCGCCATCGGTCCCTCCCTGGGCGGAATCATCTCCGACACCTTCAACTGGCGCTGGTCGCTCCTTTACCAAGTGCCGCTTAACACATTTGGCCTCTTGTTCATCTGGTGGAAGATGTCCTTTCCCTCCCCGTCGTCACCCTCCTCCTCTTCAGTCTCGACCCCCTCTTCCTCAGCCTCAAGCGCAAAATCCAAGCTCAAAAGAATCGACTTCTCCGGCTCCCTAGCCCTCGGTCTCTCCAACGTCTCCCTACTCCTCCTCCTCGACCGGATCCAACACCCTCCCAGCACCTCTTCCACCTCTTCTTCCATCTCCTCCCTTGCAACCTTCCTCCAAGACCCCTACACAATAACCGCCCTCTCCCTCTGGCTCTTATCCCTCACCTTCTTCTTACTAATCGAATCCTTTTGGGCGCGCGAACCAATCCTCCCTTTACGGCTTTTATTCCTCACCCGCAACGTCCTCTCTTCCTACGCCATCCAGTTTTTGCAAACAGTGGCGCAGATGGCGCTTTTCACCAGCGTTCCGCTTTATTTCAGGTTGGTGAACGGGGATTCGTCGGTCAAAGTCGCGATGCGACTGCTGTTTATCACCGTGGGCACGGTGCTGGGTGGGCTGGTGAGCGGGGTGGTGATTAAACGGACGGGGTTGTATAAGTGGGTTATTGTGGTGGCTGTTGTGCTTTCGGATGTCAGTTTTACTGCCATCTGGCTGAGGTGGAGAGGAGGAGGGGAAGGGGGCACAAACTGGTGGGAAACGGGGTACGGGTTCCCGGTTGGTGTTGGCTTTGGAGTAAGCTTGTCGGCGGCGTTTATTGGGTTGACTTCTGCTTTGGAGAACATGGGGAAGAAGCCTGGTGATGGGGGCAGTCAGGTGGCGGTTGCCACGTCGGGCTTCTACTTGAGTCTGAATCTGGGAAGTCTGTTCGGGGTAAGCGGAGCGAGTTTGATCATTAGCTCGGTTGTTGAGAAGACACTCAGAAAAGAGTTGGATGGCATGCCGGGAGGAATGGATATCATCAAGGAGGTGATGTCGAATATTGACAAGATTGGGGAGTTACCCGGTTGGTTGAGGGAGGTGGTGAAAGGGGCGTATACGAGGAGCTTTGTGTATGTGTGGTTGTATGCGTTGGTTGCTGGGTGTTTGGCTCTTGGGGCTAGCTTCATTATGAAGGAGGGCCAGTTGAAAGACAGTCAGTTGAGTCATCCGCCATTTGCTAGAAAGAAGAGAGGTAGCCGTCCTGGTACGGGAAGGCAGGAGGAGCGGGTGCAGAGGATTGGATACGACACTTTTGGAAACGGAGGAAACATGGACAGTGAGGAAGATTCACATGTTGCTCAATCGGGGTGAAGGCGTGTACGTGGACGGGGATCTAGAGTTCGGGTTGTGCGATATAAACAAAAGAAAGGGAAACAAAAAAGGTGGAATGTTGGTTTGATGTAATAACAAGTAACACAGCGATATAGGACATAATAATTGTTAGACTATGTACAAATGAAGAATTGAGAGAGAATGGATGATAGTGTCTCGGCAAACCTAGAGGTGGTTTGATCTTCGCTTGTCGTCAAACACTTGTGGTCACTAGAGTACTACAGAGGCCACAGTTTATTATCATCACAAGCAACCAGTGCAAGAAAAAAAGCCAATTTCAACACTGATCAACAGAAGCAACTCCAAGTGCAAAAAGAAGACAAAAAAAAAAAAAAAAAAAAGCTCAGCGGCCTCGAGCAGGGTCGAACCTGTCCACTCTAGACACGCCTACGAAAACTGTACCACCGTTACCACGCAACGAGTAATGTTTATCTGGCCCCGCCACATACCGCTTGACCACGAGGGAACTTGGAGTTATTAGAGGCTGCGGAAGCGGGACCTTATAAGGCCCAAGTGGAAGAAGGTCCAGGGCCTGGCAGGCGAGTAATTGCACAGGTTGCGTTGGTTTGAATGATGTATGTAGTTCCACGATTCCCTTGAACGAAATGTCTAGAAAGCTAAACGCCCAAACTCCTTAACTCCATTGTATCTCCAATGTCTTTCCTTGTACTAGCCAGTGTTGACCCTCGTCTCGATGTGATGAATACCTACACACCTAGCATTTCATCTGACATTCATCCCAATCGTAAAAGCCGTTACGCCCCCAACATCTAGACCGACCCCAGTCTATGACCTCTACTCCTCATCTTCCTCCATCTCAATCCCACTATCAAGCCTCTTCTTCCCCGGCTGCAGCCAGTAAACACCTGCCATATCAAATATTTATTAGCACAATCATCAATCAGTCCAACTGTACCGATAAAGAAGGTTCACTCACCATAATCATCCCCCTCAGAATGCCAACTCTTTTTTAGCTTTAGTCCCGGCCCCTCACAAATTCCCTGCACATCCCTCGCCGTCCACTTCCCGCTCCCCAACACAAACACCTTCTCTCCTTCCTCCAACACCAGGGGCACTTTCTTCCCCCCCTTACATGTAACCACCGCCTCCAACTTTCTCTTCGGAACCAAGTAATTCTCATACCGCTGCCTCTCCCCATCCCACCTGCCCTCAAACTTCCAGTTCTTTTCGTCAAACATATCTGAATCTCGGGGCTGTAATTGTAGCTGCTCCCCAGCCGCCTCCAAAGCATGCAACACCCACCGTCTATTCTCTCCCCCAGGCGCATTATACGCCCTCTCCACTTTCTCTTGATCCAAACAACCATCTACCCCCAACAGGAAACCGGCCAAGTTCTGCATCCCGTAACCATTTTGGCTACAGGTAGTGAACTTGGCCAGCAAGTCGGATGCCTCATCTTTTTCATAGTTGGCGATGCTATTCCCCAACCAGACCATCGTCTTCCTGTACGGCGCCAAGTCCGGCTGACTCAACCAGCGCGCTCCATCCTCGTAGGTACCTAGAAGCGAGCGGAGTTCGATGTTTTTTAGGGCTGGGGCTGTATGTTTGCGGAGTTGGTGCAGGGAGGAGGAGAGAAGGGTGTGGTCGACGTCTAGGGCGTAGTAGACCATTTTTTTCAAACCCGCTCTTGATGAACCTGAAGAAGAAGAGTCTTCTAAACACTGATCAAGCGCACTAAGAAGCAAAGCAGTCTTGGAGAGATTTCCCGCCCCGAGCTCGACGAGGATGTCGGTGGTCGAAGAGGCAATGGTGGAAGCGATGTGGCCGATTTGTTTTTGTAGCAAAGCGTTCTCGACCCGGTAGGGATAGTAAGAAGGCGTGGCGAGGATGGAGTCGTAGAGGGATTGGCCCTTTTCGTCCCAGAGGAGGAGGGAGGGGAGGGATTTGCGGCCGGGGGGTTGCAGGAGGGAGGAGAGGGTTTGGGTGTCGAGGGTGTCGAGGAGGGAGGTGGAGGAGGAGCGGATGTCGAGCATGTCGGAGGCGGAGGAAGTGTTGGAGGAGGAGGGGGTGGAAAGGTGGTGGTGCTGGTGGTGGTGGTGGTGGTAGAGCAGGGATGGAAGTGTTCGGGGGACGGACATGGAGGATGGTGCCCCTGGGCTGAAGGAGGAGACATTTCCGTCTTTGGTGTTTTGGTGGAAAGGGTGTGATTCAACACCGGGAGAAGGTAGGACTTGAGCCATGGTGGGTTGTACTTGGGTTGAGGTGGTAAGACAACGGGTGTGAAGTGGCGGTTTTGAATTGTTGAATGTGATGAGGTGTAACAAGTGATGCTCGGGTTTGTCGTGTTGAAGCCGACTTATCCTGAAAATTGGTGTTGATGTGTCTTTGATGGAGAAGATGTGTGTTACCTTATAAACCACCGTCAACACGGGGAGTATTGAGCCCACGAGGTCCGATCAGCCTCCTGTTGTGCTCTCCTGTGGCCATCCTGCGGGAGTTTTTCCCCCAATCGACCTCTCGATTCCGTACATGCAAGGTGGTACATTCAGGAGACTGCCTGGCTGTCCATCGTTGCACATTAGCTGGACGATGATGATGTGCTTGCCGCAGAGACTTCTGGCCCGAAACAAAGAACCCTTTTCAAGTAGTGATGTAATCGACATTCTACACCGAATGTTTGTTTCCTAGCCCAGAGGTAATGCGGACAGAGATCGCGTATGTGACGTTGACCCCCATGCCTATGGTGTCCATGATGGAAGGCAGTTGGTCGGATAGTCAGACTTCTGGTGATGGTGATGGATGAGTAGGCAGAGGTACACAGTACACTGTACCGAAGGGAGATATGGTGTTCAAAAGAAAGCTCCTGTGAGCAGGAGTTGATCAGTAGAGGTAGGTAGTCTCCAGAGCGTTCAATATGCCGCTGCCCGGCGAAGATGGCAATCTTCAGCTTGGAGAGCCAACGCCACCATGGTGAGTTGAAGGGAGGAAAAGGGAACCAGAGCGTTCAATATGCCGCTTCTTCAGCTTGGAGAGTCAACGCCACCACGGTGTAAATTCTAGATCGCCAATTCGGGAGCATATCCGTCTGGGCACAGGTTCGTTGCTGTGCTGGTGAGTTGAAGGGAGGCAAGGGAATGCAGTGAGTGAGACAATGATGATGGAGGTTGCGTACCCATTGGAGGAAGCGGCGATGGTTGCTGTGGACAGGGTCTTCCTGTGCAACTACAAAAATGAGGGGTTACCTGCACCTCAACTGTGTAGCTTACTATCCTTTCTTGTACGACGTTGAGCTGGTCTCTCCTTCCCAGATAGGTACACCCTTTGTGACGGATCATGGAATCGGACAGACCTAACAGGTTAGTTCCTGCCCGTGTCCTGTAAATCCATGCACCTGTCCCGTCACAACATGAACATTCCTTCTATCCACTTCAACATTGGATTCCTTTGACTCTCCAGCAGAATTGCCCAACGCCTCTTTCAACACGGTGACGTTGAATTTCCAATTGAAAAACAAATGGTCAAACAAACATCTGGAAGACTTGGCTCGGAACTGAGACACCCAGACACGACGAACCGTCCAGGGCTGTGATGGATGCTTCCGCATTTTTACTAACTGGGAATATGATCCGTGAACATGATGTGCTCCAGGCTTATCCAACCATCAAGGTTCCAGCCAGCCGACTCGAAACCATTGACTGGGCCCAGCCGGGATTGTACACCGCGTTTATGTCGTGGTCTCTGCAGACGCTCGGAGTAAACAAATGTGCTTGGGGCTGAAGGGCGGGCATGAATGGAACTGCTCGTCTTTCCACAGGTATTGACTAGAGGTAGCTTATGACTTGTACTTCGCCTGAGCTTCTCATACCATCCATGTCCTCCGCATTAAACAACCAAAGGTTGTTGTTCGAGATGAGTGAAGTCAAAACAGTAGATGTTCTCATTATTGGTGCTGGACCAGCCGGTAAGAACAAACTCCAGAATCCTCAAAAACGGCGGAACATAGGCTTACATTCATTCTCCTTATAGGTCTGGCCCTAGCCAATTGGTTCCGAAACTCCAACATCAACGTCCTCCTCGTTGACAAGAAAGCCGTGCCTACACGGCGAGGGAAAGCCGAGGGGCTAAAGTCAACAACAAACGAGATCTTTGACTCGTACGGTATCGGACCTCAGATCGCAGCAGAATCATGGAGACTGGAAGAAATAGCCATCTGGGGCCAAAAGAAGGACGGCGGCGAAAGTGGGATCGAGAGGGAGCAGCTGATACAGGATAAAGTGGAGGAGTTGGGCAAGGTACGGGAGACGATGTTGCAACAATGTAGGTGCTTCATGTTTTTTTTCTTTCGAGTGTCTGATTCCATTCACTTGCTGATTGTCGAACCGTTCGAACAGCAAGAGTCGAATACCACATGCAGCAAAACCTGCTAGGCCACAAGAACATCACGATCCAGTATGATACTCAGCCTGTCGAAGTCAAGATCGATGAGTCCTCGCTGCATAGTGAGGATGAAGTTTATCCAGTTGAAGTGCGCTTGGTCAAGACGCAGGTTGAATCCGAAGGGGCCTCGAACATCCTGGAGAACTCAACACCACATGTGAGAACATCCAATGTCACCAGCACAGTGAGCCACATATTGCTAACAGGCCTTAGCAGACCGCGAACGGGGATGCCGAAGAGGTCGAAGAACGAATCCGAGCCAAATACATCGTAGGCTGTGACGGAGCTCACAGCTGGCTGCGAAAGCAACTCCAAGTCCAACTCGAAGGCGACCTAACAGACTCTGTTTTCGGCGTCGTCGACCTAATCCCCAAATCCAACTTCCCCGACCTCCGCCGCGTCTGCTACCTCCGCGCCTCCACGGGCACCATCCTCCTCGTCCCGCGCAGCAACAAGGAAGTCCGGCTGTACATCCCCGTCGAGAGCGGCAGTTCTCTTTCAGACCCCAAGGACCTCACCTTCGACCGCATCATCTCCGCCGCGCGCAAGATCATGTCCACTTACACTTTGGAAGTGGGCTCGGTCTCGTGGTGGTCCGCCTACCGGGTCGGCCAGCGCGTAGGCAGCCATTTCTCGCGCCACAACGAGCGCGCCTTTTTGGTGGGAGATGCAGTCCATACGCACTCGCCCAAGGCGGGGCAGGGGATGAATACTAGTATTCAGGATGCGTATAACCTTGGTTGGAAGTTGCGACTGGTGTTGCAGCAGAGGGATAAAACCCAGCTTCTTGACTCCATGGCTGCCAGCAAGTTATTGGCGACGTACGAATCCGAGCGCCGACCCGTAGCCCAAGACTTGATATCCTTCGACAGAGGCTACCTCAAGCTCTTCGCCGCTCCCTCGGCGCAGTTCGACACGGAGTTCTTGCGCGCCATGAAGTTCACTACGGGATTATCGATCCGCTATCCTCCCTCGTGCGCTGTACAACTCCCAAGGGGTGTGGAAACGGCGGAACAGTTAGGGCCGAGTTTGCTCAAAGCCGATTTGGTCCCCGGCAAACGTTTACCGGATTTTCAGGCGGTTTACCAAGCGGATGGCATCACGGCTTGGATTCATAGGCGGTTACAAGCCACGGGTAGTTTTCGGGTTATTGTTTTTGCTGGGGATATCGCTACCCACAAGCACTTATCGACAAATGTGCAGAAGCTGGGGGAGTATCTTGCTGATTCGGAGGATGGGTTGGGAGCCTTGACAGCTGGAGGAGAGGCAGCGCCGGTGGAGGTGCTCATAGTGCATAGTGCTGACCGCGACAAGGTTGAACTACTTGATTTGCATGAGGTCTTTAGGCCTTGGAGCGATAGTGAAGGGTATGATTACTGGCGGGTGTTGGCGGATGCTGAGAGTGTGCATGAGGGACATGGGAGGGTGTATGAGCGGCTGGAGATCGATCCGGAGAAGGGGAGGACGTTGGTGGTGAGGCCGGATGGGTATATCGGTGCGGTACTTGATGTTGATGATTTTGAAGGGCTCGGGGAGTACTTTAAGGAGCTGGGTTTGCTGTCAAAATAAGTAGAGACATGGCCAGTCTGTTTTGGTGTTGGTGATCCCAGGCGGGCATAAGTAGGTAACTCAAGTCATCTGACCAAAGACACTTGGATATTCTGATCTGTTTGTGATGATACATACCTACCTGACCGAATAGACCATCGAGGACATCACAAGCTTGCACTTTAGAGGTATGAATGCCACCCACTCACTCACTGCTGAGTCTTCATCAGCTCATGGGACGGTCGGTTGGAAGGTGTCTGGTGTGGAAGGACGGGTTCAAACCGAGCAGGGTTAGGGTTTAAGCAGACGAAGCTGCCACAAGCACAGTCCACCGCTAGCCACGTGCTGCTGCTTGCTGTTGCTGCGTGTCGGACCTGCTGAAGAGAAGCAGCATGTGCATGAAGTCCTTCTCAGAGATGCGATAGAAACTTGTGAAGCAGCCGGTTGAAGAAGATGAGAATGCGAGCCAAGCATTCCGTCTCATGGCATCTGGCCGAACTCTAGCAGCCGCTCCCCGCGGGCACATGAATGTATGTAAGCAACCCGACGCGCGGCTGGTGACTGAAACGAATGAAAGCAAAGGGCAAAGTGTCAACTCGGTTGGTCCCTGAATTCTCACCTCGACATCTTCCTCTTTGTCAATCTGTTCCGCCGACTTGCCCGACAACAATCGCCATCACGACGCAACGTGTGGAACGCGCTGTGGCATCTCCGAATTGAAAGAAATAGGCAACGGCAATCGATTGGGTCGTCAACACTGCGATCGGGTCCGCCTTGTGCGCTAGCTGCTTATCGCTGGGCGCTACGTACGATAAGGGACCAGTGGCCGACGTCATCGACCCTCTCTCTTCGCAACTCGCATCGACAACAACTCTTGGTCGACCATCAGTTCTTGGTTTCCAGTCCAACCAGCAACACGGGTTGTGTTGTTTGTCTAGGCTGTCGTACTTGACAACCGACAACTGGAACCCGTGTCATTGCGGACTATTGATTGACTTCACGAACCAGAAACCTTGATTCAGATCCTTTCTCTATTGGACCCTGAAACTGTCACTCATCTGTCATCCTTTCCCGTTGCCACCTAGTGCGTGCCTCCTCCCTCTTCTGATCTTCGTCATGTCCTGGGACCTCACTCGTCGTCGATGGATGCGACAGTTGAACAGCAAATATATCTTTGACCGCTTTGTAGGTGTTGTTTTCTGTTTTGGCTTCATCCCATCTCTTCCTCTTTTTTTCTTTCAGAAATCCAAGTTCTGGAAGATTCGCGTGCCCACACCTTTTACACGAACATCCATATTCCACCTCGATTTTCACTTGGCAAAAAGACATCCACCAACTGCATATTTTCGAACCGCAGTTGATCTGATCAAGTACAACGACCGAGTGCTGACTGAACAATGATGACGAGTAGCCCTTATTGCATGCCATCATCTTCATAATCGAAATGTCCATCCTCGCCCGGCTCACGAGCCGGTTCAACCAGTACTACAATGAACGACCTGGTGCGTTTAATAAGTCCCATTCTCCTAACGCGACGAGATTCGAGTCGGGTCGATGTTTTCACACTTCGCGCACTCTTCTCGTTGCCATGCGCAACGATTATGCTAACAGAGGCGCCATGGCAGTGCTCACCATGATGGTGACCAATGCGGTCCTGGGTGGAGTCGCCGACACGGTAGCCCAGTCCATCACGGCGGTCCGGGAGCGTGCCCTCCGCAAGTACCCACCCGGCCAGGGCCCGAACCCGCGCGACGACCCCGTCGCCTACGAGATCCACGAGCTCGACCGGAAGAACCCCCTCCTCGAACAAGACCTGATCCCCGAGTCGCGGGACCTGCCGCCCCCGTTCGACTTTGAGCGGCTGGTCCGCTTCATGGCGTACGGCTTCTGTATGGCGCCCTTGCAGTTCAAGTGGTTCGGCTTCCTCGAGAGATGCTTCCCCATCACCAAGAAGAGCGCCTACATGCCGGCTTTGAAGAGGGTGGCTTTCGACCAGCTCATCTTTGCGCCCTTTGGTCTCGTGTGCTTCTTCACTGCCATGACGCTGGCCGAGGGTGGTGGAATGAGGGGCGTAAAAGACAAGATGAGGGACATGTATGTGCCGACGCTCAAGGCCAACTACATTCTTTGGCCGGCGGTCCAGGTTATCAACTTTCGGTTGATGCCCGTGTCGCTCCAGCTGGTGAGTTTCTCCGTTCTGATAGTTCGGAAAGAAGATGTTGCTAACAGCGTTATGCCCACATAGCCATTCGTTTCCACCGTTGGTATTGCCTGGACGGCCTACCTTTCACTCACCAATGCCGCCGAGGATGTGCAACAGACCACCACTCGTCCGGCATCTGGCTCTCCCAACATTCGTCTGGCCTAAATCAAGGTTCTTTCTCTCCTCATGCATTCCATCATCACAAGTCGCCAACCGGCGCAACACCTACCTACTACCGAGTATCCGCACAACGAATGGAGGAACAGTACATCTGCCGGGTTGCCTTTGTCCCCGTGTTTTGGGAGGGAATTGTAAAAGAGTTCTTAGGGGAGGATACTATACCACGGCTTTTCTTTCATACAGCCAACCGACCTAAAGGCGTCTTGGAGTTTTTGACCAAGGGTGATATCGCCCTTTCCTTTCGTTGTATTTAGCTAGACCGGCTTCAATTGAAACATGGAACTGTCTGATGTTACATAGTCAACAACACCCGACCGCTTGTGATGTACCTGGCGCGATACTCAAAAGCGTAACGTGTTAGACGGTAATAAGCGGTCGGGAGATGTACACATGAAAGTCTTCCGAACATGAGATCGTGTGAAAAGGTTATTATACTTCCAAAAACTGATCACGTTGTCTCTCATTCCTCCCCGGTAAGCCGAAATCCGGGTTCGTTGGAAAGGATGGTACGACTTCGACCCGGGTCGAAGGAACTGGACGAAGAAGCCGACATATTCTCGACTTGTCGATCCGGTTCCGAGGTTAGGTAGTCATGTTCCCGAATAGGTACAAGTTGTCGGGTATGGAATGGGAATGCTTGACCGCCATGTGAAGCTTGAGGCATGTTCGTGCTGCCTGTCCAAAGTTGTCAATGTCGCGACGGGAGTTCCTGCGGTTGCTGCTGTCGTCTGGAAAATAAAGGCAACTTTTAAAGAATACAAATTTTCACTTTTGAGATCGTCTAATAGTCCCCGTCTAGACTTTGCCTCTAGGCATATCGGACCGATTTAACATGTTCAATTGCGACAATCGGAGCCCTTTTGGCACTAATCCCGTGTTGCATATACTGCCCGCCGGGCTGTCATTGCCGTCGCTGTTGTTGAAGGACCCCAGAGGCCCAGAGGGTCTTCAGTGGAAGGATCACCCCATCCAGCAGCAGACCCGCAAATGCCTCGACGTCACTGGCCCCCGCCCTCTTTGCGAATTGGCCCCACAGGAGCTCGGTGTTACCCCTCCATTATCGATTCGCTTACCCCCTCTCCCATTGCGACCACTCTTCGGGGGACCGCCCCGGCGTTGACAGAAAAGTTTCCGTCTTGTTGAGTTCTGAAAGAGATTGGCCAAGCAACGGGATTGAAACAATAAAAAGCTGACCTATCATCATTGCGTCTTTTCGCATATCCACCTGATTCCCCCCCTTCGCTTCCATTCTGTTGATAATAAGACAAGCTAGTTTTCTCTCTTCTCCTTCAGTCATCCTCTGTGTTTGTTCTCCTTCTTGATCTTCCCATCGTCTCTCCAATTCGTAATACCTAGTCACATACAAACCGCCATCATGTCTCTCTCCAACAAGCTCTCCATCCAGGACGTCGACCTCAAGGGCAAGCGCGTCCTCATCCGTGTAAGCTTCAGCTCTAGCTAGCTCTTGTGTTGCTGTGTGATTCATTCATATGGATGATGATCAGACAAAGTTCAAGTTCTAACATGCCACACCTCTCCAGGTCGACTTCAACGTCCCCCTTGACGCCGACAAGAAGGTCACCAACCCCCAGCGCATTGTCGGTGCCATCCCTACCATCAAGTATGCCATCGACAATGGCGCCAAGGCCGTTGTCCTCATGTCCCACCTTGGCCGTCCCGACGGCAAGCCCAACCCCAAGTACTCCCTGAAGCCCGTTGTCCCTGAGCTCGAGAAGCTTCTCGGCAAGAGCGTCACCTTCGCCCCCGACTGCGTTGGCCCCGAGGTTGAGGAGATCGTCAACAAGGCCGACAACGGCGACGTTGTTCTCCTTGAGAACCTCCGCTTCCACATCGAGGAGGAGGGCAAGGGCACCGATGCCGAGGGCAACAAGATCAAGGCCGACAAGGCCAAGGTTGAGGAGTTCCGCAAGGGCCTCACCAAGCTCGGTGATGTCTACATCAGTGAGTTTTCCAGCCTACTTGGCTTTTAAGATTGGGCGCAGCAGCTAACACCAGGTCTCACAGACGATGCTTTCGGCACTGCCCACCGTGCCCACTCCTCCATGGTCGGCATCGACCTCCCCGTGAGGGCCGCCGGTTTCCTCATGAAGAAGGAGCTCGAGTACTTCGCCAAGGTGCTCGAGTCTCCCCAGCGCCCCTTCCTCGCCATCCTCGGCGGCGCCAAGGTCTCGGACAAGATCCAGCTGATCGACAACCTGCTCGACAAGGTCAACACGCTCGTCATCTGCGGCGGCATGGCCTTCACCTTCAAGAAGACCCTCTACAACATCCCCATCGGCACCTCGCTCTTCGACGAGGCCGGTGCCAAGACTGTCCCGGACCTTGTCAAGAAGGCCGAGAAGAACAACGTCAAGATCGTTCTCCCTGTCGACTACATCACGGCCGACAAGTTCGCCCCGGACGCCAACACGGGCTATGCCACGGACAAGGATGGCATTCCCGACGGCTGGATGGGCCTCGACTGCGGCGAGGAGTCCGTCAAGCTCTACACCGACGCCATCAACGAGGCCAAGACCATCCTCTGGAACGGCCCCGCTGGTGTCTTCGAGTTCGACAAGTTCGCCAACGGCACCAAGAAAACCCTCGACGCCGCCGTCAAGGCTGCCCAGGAGGGCCGCACCGTCATCATTGGCGGTGGCGATACCGCTACCGTCGCTGCCAAGTACGGTGTTGAGGACAAGCTCAGCCACGTCTCCACTGGCGGTGGTGCTTCCCTTGAGCTCCTTGAGGGCAAGGCTCTCCCTGGTGTTGTTGCTCTTAGCGAGCGTCAGTAAGTTCGTCCTTGCTTAGATTCAAATGGAAGCGGGTGCGGGCGGCTGTGTGGAAATAATGATGCTATGATACCTCCTGATGTTGTGGGAGATCATGACTGATGGATCAAAAATGATGATAAAGGGTCCTTGGACGGATCAGCAGGGCTAGTCTCTAGGTACTTGAGTCTCAAGCCGATAAATAGAACAAAACAGTTAAAGTCCATCTATGGTCCGAAGTGTGATCTGAGAATAAACTTGATGAATCAGGTTCGTGGTAAGATTGTTCAAGTTTATGCCCCAAGTTTCGGGACAAATGTCTATTTGGACGTCAATCTCAGCCCTGTGTTGATACCCAACGACCACTCACGTCCCCAAGTCTCCGAGCCATGACACCGTAGTCAAAGGGTCAGCTTGTCTACCACTCGCATATCGAAGCTTCGCAAGGCATTGCCGAGCCTTTAACCGCGAGTCGCCCATCACCTTAAATCCCCAAATCGAAATCGGTAAAATATTGTATTGATGCGCCCTCCTCCCCTTTCTCCCCTCATATCATGTTTCGTACAAGCCCGAAGTCCTCCGATTACCGCTTCTTGGCAGCCTCGACCTTCTTCAGCTCCTCCCTGTTTACCACACATGTGTGTTAGCATGGTTCCTTCTGAAAAGTCTTTGGGGTTTAAAATCTGAGTCTGAGTTTAAGCCTGAGTGAGTAGCGCGCTTGGTACGCCGTGTAGGGGTATCCTCCGGCGCAGTCTTTACATATGGGCTCTGCTCTGCTTGACTCTAGCATAGATGCTGAGAGGAATACCTCAACTCCCAGAGGAAGAGGAAGAGGGGGCGAGGCGGGAGAAAGAGGGGGAGGAGAGGGTGGTTGGTGGGTGGTGGGTGGATTGTGGTGTAGGAAATTTCGAAACGTACTTTAGCTGCGAGGAAAAGTCGTCGCTCGTGTCATCGTCGTCCCACGACTCCTCCCATAGGTGCTTGGCCTCGTTGTTGCCCTTGGCGGCTTCTGTGTCTTCGGCTTCCCAGTCTGTTGAGTTGTATACTTGTTAGTTTATGGTCTGTACTTGGAACTGGCTGGTTAATCCAGCGTGAGCTTTGGGACTTGGGGGTTTGCGATAGTGAAGGTGAGGGATCAGGAGGAATAAGACAGGAAGGAGGAGGAGGAGGAGGGGAAAGGTGGTGGTGTAAGTGGTGGCGTTGGTGATGTGGTGTGTTAGTAGCATGCGCAAGGAGTAGGAGCCTTCGGATACAGCTCGCTTCCAACGTGAAGGGAAGGGGCGGCCAAGTTTTGTGATGGTATGATATGTAAGAGGTTCGTGATGCGGTGGTGTTCGGGATGCGATGCGGCATCGCAAAAGGTGCTTCTGGCCACGGCAGGCAAGACTAACCATCAACGGGGAAGTCCTCGAACTCGTCGTCTTCCTCCAACACGGCGGTCTTCTTCTCGGGAACGGGCTGCTCGGGCTTGGGCTCGGTCGACTTGGCGTCGTTCTTGGGTTGTGTTGAGGCCATTGTGAATGTGGTGTTTTGTGTGTCTGTTTCGAGAGTCGGATGGACCAGCTGGACTGAAGCTGATGACGCTAGACGGATGAATTATCGACGGGTCGTTCGAAAGGCGGGCAAACTCGTCGGTGTGCTTTGGTCGCGTCGTGGTGATGATGCGCTTTGTTGTCTGGTATTATGCGCGCGCGGAGGGAAATCGGAATCGTCGGTTTGGCGGAAACAATGTTGGATGGTGGTTGATAGCTTTGGTCGTGTCGTGACAGCTTGAGATCTTGTCGTTCGTTCCGTCCAGTGACGGGATGGGAAGCAATCAAGCTGGAGTGCCTGCCCCCAACCCCAAGGCGGCAGCGGGACGACGTGCTGGCGTCTGGCCGAGCAAGGGGCGGCAAGAGCACGGGCCATGCCTTGCAGGTCTTGGCAGAAAGCTTAAGGGCCCCACTTTGGTACCCCGCCGAGCTGCGATGTGCTTTTGGTGTGTCTTGCATCGGCATGTCTTCTTGTCTGCATTGGAGGAGCATCACAGCCGAGTTGACATTCAACGCTGCAATTTAGGCATCGCATCCGTCCGAACCATACTGACAATTGCAGACGGCTTCTCATTCTTGCATTTCATGCCTGCAGTTAACATGTCCAGGTCAATAGGTACGCAGAGCACGAGTCAGCTCACCAGGGCATCTCTTGGTGACAAACGACAAGAGGGACTCCCTGCTGGTTGCAAACAGCTGTTTTGGTATGGTGCGGCATCAAACCAATCTTCTGAAACCTTTGTTCTTTTCTCTCCTCTCGTTGCTACAATCGGCCCAATCGAGCAATTGCGGTAACCAGTTCGAGGCTGCCATGTTAGCAAGTGGTAACACGACATGAGATGCCGATATCCGCTTACATCGAATCTCACTTTGAATCGATTGGCCTTTCCCATGGCCATTCGTCCTGTTGGACACTTGAGTTGATAGATCGTCATGGCTGGAGAACTTGACCATATTCTCGGATAATGCAAGACCGAGGGTCATGATACGAGATGTGGTCGCTTTGCTCACCTTGCATTGTACCGTAAGGTGTGCAGAAGCGCGCGGCGTAGACGTGCCGGCTGCGTTGGATATTATCTCCAGTATCCGATACTAACACGACACAGTATCAAATGAAGACAACAGCAAAATCCCGGGCAATCGGACCTATGACAGTTTATGACACCGTTTGTCCCAAGTTCCAGGGCAGCAACCTGGATTCCTGGAATGGAACAAGGGGTAAAAACCAGGGACGGCATCGGGGAATTTTCGATTGTCTTTAACAGCTCCGTCTTGGACGCCTCGTCGCCTCTTTCCCCTCGTTTTTTTTTTCCGGGGCAATGCTAGTTCTTTCACGTACTTGGGCGAATCTTAATAAGGCTGACTTCGACGCACTTTCAGGAACAAGCCGCAGCTCAGCCCAAGAACGAGAACCTGACAACAAACCTACATACGAACCTCCGGCATTTCTCCTCCTTCTCCTCTAAAGTTCCTACATAACCGTTCATGCCAGGTCGCCCAACTGATACCCCAAACCATTCCCTCACCCGTTCGCTTGATATCGACACTCCTATACGTATCGCCGGGCAGGCATACCGTATCTCCCTCGACATCGACGACCTCCCATTGGCATTGCCTTCGGTGGTCAACTGAAACCCCACCTTCCCACCTAGTTCTCTCGCGTCTGCACGCTCACAGTCCCGGCCGGCGCTGAATGCCTGGACAAGCTGGATCGCGCTGAAAGGATATCCAACATCTCCACCACAACCGCCCGGGCACCAGTCCGCCCACTCGGCTTGGGCCGCAGCGCCGCTCCCAGTCAGCGCCAAACAAGCGCAACGCCCAGAACCCCAGGTTTCCTTGTTGGCAGTTTTTGCCAGGTCTGCAGCACCGTCTTAGATCCGGTTTCACCGACCGGGCTTACCGGCACCCCTGTATATATATCGGTCTTGCCTCCGGTCTCTATTTTTTTCGAGTTCTGTCAGAGCGGGGTCTGGATTTCGCTGTTTTTACCCTTTCCCTCGGCCTGTGAAAAAGTAGGTTTTGTCGCTATTTTCAACACCAAAAAGTCTTGACGCCGGCGGCACCATACAAGTGATCCCGGACCTCCGGTCTTTGCTTGGCGACCCGGGCATCCGGTGCCCATCCCCCGCTTCCCGTCCTCGGCGACGTGCAACACCAATTCAACGGCTACCGTTACAGTACACGACCCGACCGCACACACCACACAAAACGCAGGGTCACACAACCACCCGAAACTTGCCAAAATGTCTGCATTGCGCTCTTGGTTCCGCGGATCGTCCGCACCCTCAAAACAATCGCCAAGTGCTGCGCCGAGCCCGGCCGCCAGTTCTACTTCCTTGCGCGACCACTTACACAACCATGGGCGTCCCAGAACCGCCTCAGTTAGCGCTGCCCAGCAGGAGGCGAACAACATTGAAGATGCCATGGCAGCAGTAGCATTGATTATGAACGACGATATCGACGGAGCCGAAGCAATGCTGCGATTGCGCGAAGATGCCTCGACATTCCACCAGCTTGGTCTGGGCGTGTCGACATTCTTGAGGAGTATCTTGGGTTTCGAAAAGGAGATCATGAATGAGACGACAACCAGATTGGGGGAGACGGAAACACGGGCATGGAACGATATGAAGAAGGCCCAGAAAGAGGCGGAAAAGCATGGGGTGTACGCTGGTTCGGTATACCCCCAGGGTCATGCATCAGGAGGAAGCCACATCTACCCTCCGGGTTCTGAATTTGCGCTCGTGAACGCAGAGGCGCAACTCATGGGCGCCGTGGTGGCTGTGATGCACGAAAGTCTGACGGAGGCAATCAAGGGATTCTACAAACTGAGAAAGGCGTACGCGACCTTGGACGGTATCATGACCTCGGAGTTGCTGTATCTGCAAACATTGGAGAAGAAGGGTATCACCACGAGCGCAAGGTCAACCAAGACGAGTGTCGACGAGATGCCTGGTGCATTCAGCGACTCGGAATTTGCCAGCCTCGAAAACTCGAAAGGCGCAAACACTCCCTCGCAAAACGGTGCCGTGGCAGATTCTGCCAGCGCCGCCAAAGAGCCTTCCGGTCCTCAGACACCAGCGTCCGCATCGGCTTCTAATGTAGCGAAGACGGCCGCAGATGCGGAGATACTCGACGAGAAATTGGGTCATCTCCAACTCGACACGGATGCGGCAAGCGTGCAGAGCGTGCCTCAGAATGCTTCCCCGGAAGTTACGACACCATCGACACCCCAATTCTCTCACCTAGACCAGCTGAACAAGTTCGGCGCCGATAGGTCAATCTTCAAATCACCCGTTGACATCTTCGTCCACAGCGGCGCAAGCATGTGCTTCGGTATTCTCCTGCTCATCATCTCCATGGTTCCCCCAGCCTTCTCCCGCCTTCTCTCCGTCATCGGTTTCAAGGGTGATCGCGACAGGGGAGTCCAGATGCTCTGGCAATCAACCAAGTACAACAACATCAACGGCGCCATGGCCGGTCTCGTCCTCCTCCAGTACTACAACCTCTTCTCCGCGTTCGCCGACATCCTCCCCAGCGAGCTCGACATCCAGCAATACTCCAAGTTCGCCAACGGGGGCGCCGAATTCGAAGCCGTCGGCTACCCCCGCGACGAGTGCACCGCCCTGCTCGCCGAGATGCGCCAGCGCTACCCGGACTCGCGCCTCTGGCGGCTCGAAGAGGCCCGCGTCATGGCCAACGCCCGTCGCATCGAGGAGGCCCTGGCCATGCTGGCCGCCAACAGCGACAGCAAGATGCGCCAGATTGCCGCGCTCAACAATTTCGAGCTGAGCATGAACTCCATTTACGCTTTGGAATTCCAGTCCGCGCCCGCCCACTTTTTGCGCTGCGTCGAGCTCAACAGCTGGAGTCACGCGCTGTACTACTACCTCGCCGGTTGTGCCGAGCTGGAGCAGTACCGCGATCTGTTCCACAGTGGCGAAGCTAGCAGCTCCGCTGCCCTCAAACACAAGAAGCTGGCCGAGGAGTACTTCCGCAAAGCCCCCACCGTCGCTGGCAAGAAGCGGTTCATGGCCAAGCAGATGCCCTTCGAGGTGTTTGTGCTGCGCAAGCTGCAGAAGTGGGAGGAGCGCGTCAAGGCGTACGGGCTGGATCTCGCGGACGTGATCTGCGTCAGTCCGGCGCTCGAGATGATTTACTTGTGGAACGGCAGCAAGCGGATGCCGCCTCACTTGCTGGAGAAGGCGCGGACGTACCTGGCTTGGGAGCGGTGCACGGCGCCGGCGGACAAGGGGGTTGTCGCGAATGTCAAGAGCCTGGAGCAGGATGAGGTAGCTATTGGACTGCTGGCCGAGTCGGCGCTGTTGAGACAGCTGGGTAAGGGCGCGGAGGCGAGGAAGTTGGTGGAGCCTCTGTTGGGGGTTGATAGGTATGTTTGTCTCTTTTTGTTCTCTCACCTGATTTGATACCGAATATTTTGCTAACTGATATGCTTTTTCAGATCCGTCTTCAAGGGCCCTACAAGAGACGATTACTGCGGCGCCGCAGCCCATTACGAAGTCGCGGCCGTTGCCTGGATGGAAGTCTGCAACCCCGAGGCCTGGCCATCAGCCCCCGAAGAGGTCGAAGCCTTCCGCAAGCAAAAGACAGATGAGTGCCAGCTGTATCTGGACAAGGTGTCCAAGTGGGATGGCTTCGTTCTGGATGCCCGGTTTGGCATGAGAGTCCAGGCGGGTATCGACAGCGTGAGGTGGCTGAAGGGCAAGAAGGGCTGGATGTGATGGAGTAGTACCTAAGGTACCTACCTTCATCTAGAAGGATGTGTGAACCTTGTTGCAAGCCATGTTATGATCCTAGGTGTTTACGGGTTGGCATAGAAAGGGCGGCGTGTAAAGGGGTTAAGCGGGCCGGGCGGTTATTGTGTTTTCTTCAGTTTCTATCAGTTTTACGGGTAACTTGGCTTCTTGGATGCTAGACCGCGATGTGCATTGCACAGCGAGTTTTGGTGTTTTGTGTGTGTGTACACATATTTTTATTGGTTCATGTCTTTTTTTGGTCATTGGTGTTTTGGGTACGGTTTATACATATATTATATGCATATAAGGAAACAACATATGGAGGAGAGGGTCAACAGAGCTTTTTATGATCTACGGCGATCTGAGGACCTTGAATGTCGGGACCGACGTGCACCCTGCGGTGTGTGCCTGCTGGGATGGCCAACCCAACCTGTACACATGCCCCGCAATGAAGGAATGGAAGTAGCCATCGATATAAGCAAGGTGTACCCCATTGTGAGGAGGCTGTCAATAGGGGCGGAAGGAAGCCATCACGAAGGGGAAGGAACCCTGGGCATTCAAGGAAGGAAGCAGTTCAGAAGGATAAGCCAGACGGCTGATTCAAAGTCTGGTTGGCGCCAAGAATCGTCTCTGATGCCGGGCTCCCCAGCTCTTTTGGCTGTCTTCTCTTCATCATCTATTCAAGCACAAGGCCTCATCTCCTCTGGGACTTCGAGACACTTCGTTCGCATCATGCGAATCGCATCACCGGCAGGCAAGATGATTCTGCCAAAATTGACCGCCATCTTGACCCAATATCTGTTGCCGGCCGGCAGCGGGACGGGGCGGCTAGGACGGCAACAACCCCGGCTCGACGTCATAGGCTGTGATAATTCAGCGATGGAATGAGAGCTGTCAAGGTTGGTTCATTTGTGTAACACAGGCAACCAACTAACAAACTCGTCGTATACACAGATCTCAGAGTGAAAAAAGCTTCAAGTTCGGAGGGCGAATCCCTTCATATGTTCAGCTCACAATATCTTCATAACAGTGAGCTCAAATCTGACTTGTAACATGGGCGGCTCCAGTCTCCACGCGACACGTTGAATGGTCAGTTACAGCGCATACTCACATTTTGACCCAAAGCTGTCAACAACCCCTCTTTCTCAGCCCACATTTTGGACCCTTTCGAATTGGAAAAGTTCGTACCTCTTTGGGTTTAAAACCAAAACACGACCGGATGTAAACAAACCTCATTCTGGTATCACAAGCTCCAGGCCCTGGACACCATTGTCAATATGGCCTCCCTTCTAAACCTCCCCTTCGTCTCCTACTTCCTCCCGTCCTCCATGACGGCCTGGTCCACCTCGCTCAACCTTTTGTTTTTCTACATGACCTGGACAACCTTGGTCCTCAGCCAATCGACCTTCAAGCTCGAGATCCTCGGCACGCTCGCCATCCGCCTCATCTTCTGGCTTTTGCCTTCTCTGGTGTTTCTCCTCTTCGACACGCTCTGCCCCGGGATATCCGTCTCGCTCAAGTACAAGGGCGCCGTCGATTTGCAAGATCGCCATGTCCGCACCCACGCCCGCCTCATAGGTCTGGGGGTGTTCAACCTCTTGACCTCCACCGCCGTTCAGGCTCTTATTTCGTTTGGGGTCAGCACACTGATTAAGGCTCCCGTGTACCGGACGACCACCACGCTGCCGTTGCCGTGGCAAATGGCGAAGCATATCGCCATTTTGTTTTTGCTGAGGGAGGTTTTGACTTATTATATCCACCGCTTCGTTTTGCACGCCCACGCCCAAGACTCGAAGCGCGGCTCCTCCCTCAGCAACCGTTTAACCGACTTGCACATCCGTTACGCCCACGCCAATAACCCACCCGCTTCGTCCTCCACCACTACCTCTTCCTGGCGCAAACCTTCTTCGTTGTCCCTTCAACCAACTCAACCAACCCCCCTCACCCTCTTCGCCGACCACCCCGCTCCCTCCCTCCTCCACCGCTTCCTCCCTCTCTACCTCCCTCCCCTCCTTTTATCTCTCTCCTTCCACTTATCTCCCTTGCTAGTCCCCTATATCCCCATCTCCGCCATTCCGAGCTCTACTCACCACTTACATCTGTTGACAATGCATTTGTTTACTGGTTTGGTTACGCTGGAGGAGACCTTGTCTCTGGCGGGGTACACGACGCTTTTGACTCTGGTGCCTATCCCGGGAGTGCTGGTGGGTGGAATAGCGAAGAGGCAGGGGAGGCATTTTGGGACAGTGGAAGGGCTGAAGGGGAGGAGTGGGAATTTTGGGGCTTGGGGGGTGGTGGATTGGGTTTTGGGCACGAGACTGCTGAAGGATGAGAGTGGGGAGGGGGTTGTTGTCGAGGGTGAGAAGGGGAGTGGTAGGAGGAGCAAAGCTTCGGCGAAGACGGCGGCTGGTGAGAGTGGAAGTGGAAGTGGGAGAAAGACTAGGACGAGCACGCGGAGACAGAGGGAGGACATGAGCAAGTCGTTGGAGGATGAGATTAAGCAAGTGGCTGAGGGACTGAGGGATGTCGGAGAGGGGATTGTGGATGGGATTAAGGAGTTTGGGGAGGGGATGGGGGTGAGGAGGAGTGGAAGGATTAGGGAGAGGAGCAGTAGGGCGGGGTCGGTGATGAGGTGAGGTGATGGGTTTGGATGAAAAGGTGGATGGGTGGATGATGATATGATTTTGTATGATGGATCATGGATGATTTTTTTACGACTGGGGGGGTTATCGTTTTGGAAAAGTTGGTATTTCATTGAGTGTTTGGATATCTGGTGGCTGGCATACGTTTGTTTTCTTGGGCTTTCGTTCTTTCTTTGCACTCCTCCCCAAAACTTCAACCAGATAGTAGACGACTTCTTAACGTAGATATCACGATGATATCAGCGACCAAGATGGCCCAAGCAGTCAGAAAGCACATCACAATAGCTTCTACATGACCCATGCTCCCTCTCGTCTCAATCCCGTAAAACCCCCCACCAACCGAAACGACCACAAGAGTTCAATCTCGGGTAGCCTTCCCGACCCATTATTCGTCTCGTCTTGTTCTCGTTCCTGGATCCCGGTCCCGCGGCCGTTGGAGCACAGGCCGGTTATAATGGACGGAAGCGGGAATGATCTGGGTTGATCTATGGGGTGGTGAGCAGGGGGTTTCCTGGTTGGGGACCGTGGTTCGGTCGAAATCCATGGACAAATAGACCCATTTCCGTGCGCACATAGTCCCCCCCATATTTATCGCTGAGTCAGCCGCCTAGCCGCGCTAGTATACCGTACTGTGCACATTGCTGCCCAACCGCCGTACCGCCGTCGCGCTATGTATTAGCGATAATTAGTATTATACAATTAAATAAAGCTATCATGAAACTTTACTTTAGTATTGAGTAACCGTTTATAGCGATCATTTGTCGTCTTTATTATTATTTTGTTGAATATCCTCGACCTTGTAGTATTCGCGTTTATTAATATACTTCGTCCGCCCGCCTGCCTACCGTACGTTGCATATTCGCCTAAGTAAATTAGACCCCTAATCTAATCGATTAAAATAATTAGCATTAACAGGATTTAACTAGAATCCCTAGCTAAAATACCTTTAAGTTCGAGAAGTTTGTCTCGAATAATTACTCCTAATAGGAATACGACTCCTCTTATTGAATTTTAATCGCTATTAATCCGCCGCCTCCGCGAACGACGAATAAAAATACGGTTACCGTAGCCCCTTAGCAAACGCGTTATTAAATAGCGGTCTCTAATATTAACAAGGTTTTTAGTACTAGCGAGGTGTTAGGCTCCAAAAGGGCTAACACCGTACTGGCAGGCATTTGAACCGAAGGACTCCGACGAGCCCTAGTAGGAACGCTAGGTATTGACGTCGTGTAGCGTTGGAACGGCTCGGAGATCTTGCGGGCTGTGCTACTATAAAATGGGTTTTAATATATAAATAAATAATTATCAGAGCTTCTTCCTTTGGGAGAACGGTTTAAATATTAAAATACTCTTTATTATACCCCTAATTCGTAATAGCTCTTTGCGTAAATGCTCCGTCCATAGGCACTTCAATTTACCTTCTTCTACTAGTCCTAATATATTAATATTTCTACCTTTTAAGAATTAAGCCGTTATTAATAGGATATAAATACGTAGCGGACGTTCCGTTTTTCGGGTTGTCAATAATATTCCTTTAGGATAATTTCTATAAGAAGAATTTCCTTCCGATTTGTTTACTATTCCTATAATTATAAAATCCGACGTTATTTATTTACTTCCTCCTTCGTTTTAGTATTGCTAGCCGTTTATTAAAGAAGTAGACGACGACGGCTTTAACGATAATTAATATTCTTATTCTTTTTATACGTATTATAACCTTCTTTTCGAAGATTGTAAAATAGAATTTAAGTAGGCCCGTTACGAATTTCGTATCAAGGCTATTAAATCCCTTATATTTATTTTCCCTTTGCGCTTTTCTCTTTAGGAATAAAATAGTTTCGTAGAATTTTCTACTTGCGATTAATTTAGTAATCATTCTCTTATTCCTTACGGTTTCCTTTATTAAAATTACGTTTTTTATAATTAACTTTATATTAATATCATTCTTGTTACCCCCTAAATTATATAGTTATTCTCTCTTATTTTTATTTAATTGGCGCCTTTTGATAAATCTTTATTCTCCTTATTTAATCGCCTTAAAATCAACGCCCGTTCTTATAAAAGTAAAAATTTGGTTCGTTTAAAGGAATTTTTCTATAATATAGAGAATATTTTCTTCCAATCGGGTTTGGACGTTAACGAATAATTGTACGTTTACTTCGCCGAATTCTACTTCGAGGGAAACGCTAAAAATTCCTAAATTAATTATTGTTAATATATTATATAGTAATTTAATTATAATTATATTCGTAATACCCCTATTTAGAAGAAATTTCGTTCGTTCTTTAAATGGGAATATAGTAGCGATATTTAAATTAACGAATATATTATTTTATTCAATTTCGAAAATATATAATAAGGCCCGACCGAAATTATATACGAATTTTATTAATAATTCCGTACCGAAGAATTTAATTTATTATATACTTAGTTAGAGTTTTTATATATTTTATAATGAATAAATTAGTTGTAGCCTTACTTTAATTAAGGAATTTTATTAATGTATAGTATTAATATATTATAAGAAATTATAATGTATATAGAGAGAATTTAGGAATTTGAAAATTAGTTTTTAATATAGTAATAATAATAGTTCCGTTATCCTTAAATATTTCGCTTCTAATTATTGTCCCCTAATCCCATTTTTACCTCTAATCTTATTTCTTTTAGCGTTCCGCTTATTTCCAATTTTATATTGGCGTAATCGACTACTATTTATAATAATTGCTGTCGGAGCGGTTATATTTATAATTAGTATTAAAAGGAGAAGTTGAAGGGTATTTATTTCGAATATAATTAAATTAGATATTTAGTATTTATTTACTTTAATAGATTTTATTATAAGTATAACGGTAAAGGATATAAAGTATATTAGTATATTTCCCCAGGAATTAGCTTTAGTTAAAGAGCGAACGCTGAATTGATTGTATCAATAAGAATGGTTACTACGCTAATTTAAAAAGGCGTGGGTAAATTGAAATTGTATTTGAATACGAAGTTAAAAGTAAGGAAGCCTTAAAGTTAGTGGGCGGTTTATAAATTAATAAATTCTGAGTTAAAGTTGAATTTTATCTGTTGGTATCTATTCCTCGAAGGTATTTAAATTAATTTTATAAATTACTTTTTTTTTATTTCTTTTTTAAATCCGTTCTTATATATAATTTGATTATTTTTTTTTAAATTACGTAATTCCTTTAATATTAAACGGTAATAGCGGATAACGTTTACGGTTATTAATTCTCTTAGCGTTAATATTATTTTCAATTATTTATAGTTATATAATTTCAATTCCGAAATCGATTAGCAGCGAAGGAAATTCCGTTTTTGTATTGAAGTAAGTGATTTTATTAAAAATAAAAAATTTACGAAGGATATTTATTACGCCGCCGCTATTTTAATAGGTTTATCTTAGAATTCGATTTTAATAATAGTTATAAAAGATACGAAGAATTAGGTCTTTAATAGTTTTTCTCTACCCTGGTATTTATTGACTTTATTTAAAATTCTACCTTTCTTTCGTATAGAATTTTTAATTCTATTAGAATCCCCGAATTCCCCCGATAATTCCCTATTTCTAACGGAGGAATCCTTCGGAAATTCTTTCTATATTTTTAAAATTATATTAGATAGAGTCTACTCTCCGTTAAAATTTTTATTAGAATTAGTATTATAGAAGACGTTTATCCCGGAGTTATTAATAGCCGAACGAAGTAAATTAATAATTCCCTTTAAATACGAAGAATTTAAATAGGTTTTCGAAATATTATCCGTACCCTTCCCTTAATATAACCGGTTAGAATATTGAATCGATTTTGAAGAAGGAGAGGCGCTTTTATTTAGACCGATTTATACTTTAAATATTAAAAAATTAGAAGTCTTCTGAGAATAAATTATAGAAGCGTTATTTAAGGGTTGGATCCGGCTGTCTAATAATGTAATAAGGGCCCTTATTATTTTTGTACTAAAGAAGCGAAGTAAATTAAAGTTGTATATTAATTATTATACGTTTAATAGAATTATAAAGAAGAATTGTAGCATCTTGCCGCTTATTTAAGAGATTTTGGATTAGTTATCGTTAGTGAAAACTTTTATTAAATTAGATTTGAAAAACGTATATTATTATATTCGGATTAAAGAGGAAGACGAACATAAAACGGCGTTTCGGACGTATTATAGGCACTATAAATTTTTAATTATCCTTATAGGGTTAGCGAATACTCTAGCTATTTTTTAAGCGTATATTAATAATACTTTTATAGAATTAATTAACATTATTTATATTATTTATTTTAATAATATTATAATTTATAGTAAAAATAAAAAGAATTATTATAAGTATATTAAGGAAGTCCTTCGGCGTTTATAGGATTGTAACCTAAATATTAATTTAAGGAAGTATAAATTCTATATAATTGCAATTTCATTCCTAAATTATATTGTCTTTCTAAAAAGTATTTTTATAAATTTTAAACAAATGGTAATAATTATTAATTAGGAAACCCTAATAAATATTTACAATATTTAGGTCTTCTGAAGGTTTATAAGGTTTTACCGACGGTTTATAACTATGTATTTTAAAATTACGGCGCTATTAATAAAGTTATTAAAGGGAAATAAAAGGACGGTATTCGAATTAATAGAATTAGCGCTATAAGCGTTTGAAGAATTGAAGCGGAAATTCTAAGAGGTTCTAATATTCTACTATTTCGACCCGATATTACTAATTTAAATAGAAATAGATACGTCCAACTTCGTGGTAAGCGTTGTATTAATATAATTATTTAATATATAATAGTACCCAATTATATTTTTCTTTCCGAAGAAATCCTTCGAAAAGACGCGTTATAACGTAAGCGACGGCAAATTATTAATTTTAATTCAAAATACTACGAAAGTAAAGGTTAAATAAGAATTTCGGATAATTAATATAAGATTTATAATAAATCTCTTATAGTCCGACAATAATAATTATAATAACTTTTTTATAATTAATAATATCTGTAAGAGCCTAATCATTAAAATTAGTAAACGCTTAAAAAATAAAGCGAGCCTATAACCGTACTTTAAAGAGCGTTATAATAATAAGTAAATTATAAGTACAGGAATAGCGAATACGTTCGTAAATAATAATCGAATGTAAA